GGAGCCTTCAGACTCTGGTGAGACTTCTTCCACTTTAAAAATTATTATTTTAATTAACATACACGATACTGGTTTTCATATTTTTTGTTTTTGTTGCCCCACCCCACTCCCTTCTTTATGCCCCACCCCAAACCCTGTAACTTGGATGGTCTGATCCAAAGGTGGAAGGAAAGAACTTCTCACTCCTTTCTTTCCTCCAGTCACCATCTCTGTGTTCAGGGCACACGCATTTGATTATCCTTGCCCTCTCTCCAATTTCTCTATTTTTTTTCTTCTTACGATCCTATTTCTAGTTTTTCTTTCCCAAATGTCTTTTTCTGTCTCTCTGAAGTCATTAAACACCACTGTGGCAACATAGGACACATTCTATAAGGACTTTTACTATCTTTTTAGTGGTCTCAGAAACCATGGTTGAAGACTGACTCAAAGTATGATGCCAGATCCCTGTAATTGCAGTATTGGGAGGCTGAAGCGGGAGGAACAAGGCAGCCTAGTCTATATATTGAGAGTTCCACATGGCCTGACATACAGTGTGAGATCTTCTCTCAAAAAGAAAGTCAGCCATTAAATAAGTTATACAAGATCTTACCTCTAGTGAGCAATGGAACTAGGTTTTGTGTTGTAGGGTGTTTTAAATTCTTCCTAAAAATGGCCAAACTATTATTTATAACTTTTTGATATCTCTTCATCTCCCACACCAGACAAAACCAAAGATGTGAATTTAAGTGCTTATCATATAGTCTGACCCCAAAGAGATAGTCTCCAAAGATTCAAAGGAAAGTTTACTAAATTTGGAAAGTTGAAGTTTTTATATTTTTTTTAGCTTTATTTAGTTTATGTTTCTATGAGTGTTTTGTGTGCATGTAAGTCTGGGTATTGTGTGCATGCCTGATGTCTGGAGCTGGCGTTCCAGATGGTTGTGAACCACCATGTGTGTGTTGGGAATCGGGGTCCTCTCAAGAGCAAAAAGTACTTTTAGTCATCGAGTCGTCTCTCCAGCCCAAGTATAGGTATTTTTAGTTGTGTGTGTGGGGGGGGGGGATGGGCGGTGAGAGAGCACGCAGAGTTTAGAGGTCAGTCTCAGGAATATCATCCACATCTTTTGAGATACCGTCCCTAATTTCTCTAATTGACCTTAACCTAGGCTGACTGGCCAATGAGCCCCAAGGATCTGTCTGTCTGGTTTTACATCCACCTTGTGCTGCCTTTTGCATTTTGTAAGTGGACGGTACCATGGTGTATAAAATTTCAATGTAATGAACATGATTTCACTTTGTTGAATCCCCTATACCTATTATAGTACCGTGTATGTATTAGCATCTTAAATACATATGAAAACAATAGTTTTTAGTGCTAAAGTTCTGTCCTGTTTGAAAATTCAAAGCCTAGAAATCATTCAGAGTCAAATGTAGTTGCAAATGCTGGATACCAAAAAACCAATAAAAGTTGATGTAGCTTGTAAGCATGAAAATATTCTTTGAAGTTTGCTAAGAAAGGAAAAAATACCTATTTTAATTAGTATCTTTAAAATAGTGCATTAAATTAACTAATTTTAGAGGATATTTGATGTGACATGTTTTGGTTTCGTGGGTGCATGTTCAAATATATCAAATTATATGCTGTGTAGTTTTTGTTTATCAAGTGTATATTAATGAAACTATTTAATACACTCTTTTTAGAGGCAATATATTCCTGATACTTGTCTTTCTTTAAATGGATTTGATTTGATTTTTCTGTGTTTTTGGGTTTAGTTTTTATCCTTTCTCTACACTTGTTTTCTATTTTCTTATTTTGTTTTCTAGTATTTCCATTCTTAAGTTTTTGCTTTATATCAATAGCATATTTTAAATTACTTTAGTTGTTCTTATATTGCTTCGATGCTCTTGAGGAGAAGAATTCGTGGAATTATGTATGTTTAATAGAGCCAGTTGGGCCGGGACACCTTTAATCCCAGCACTTGGGAGGCAGAGGCAGGCGGATCTCTGTGAGTTCGAGACCAGCCTGGTCTACAAGAGCTAGTTCCAGGACAGGCTCCAAAGCCACAGAGAAACCCTGTCTCAAAAAACAAAAAAAAAAAAAAAAAAAAAAAAAAATAGAGCCAGTTGTTGGCAGAGCACTCAGGTCTCCTGTGATGGAGATCAGTACTTCTTACTCAGGTTTTAGGGCTCTGATAATATTGTGGCTATAAAGTAAAAAGCTTAGTGGATATTGAAACATAGATTAGCATTTTTGTAATTTATATTTATGATTTATACGTTTTGGAAAGTACATTTTCATGGGATATCTTCAAAGAGAATATCCTGATGTTGGTCCTTTTGTATAAAATCCTGATTGTATATTTGCCTTAGTCATATATTGAAGTAAATTTTATTTTGTTTTTGAAACATGATCTTCTATCCCTTAGGGTGACCTGAGGCTGGCTATTGAGCTCTGACTGTCCTTAGACCACTGATCGTCCACTCTCTACTTCTTGAGTATGGGGATTGCCTGCATATGTAACCAACCATGGCTGACTAAAATAACTTTAATTGATGCATAAAATGTGTTGCCATATTTAAAATGCAGCTTTCAATTTCTACTTTCTTTAACCCCTGTACTTCTTACTTTTCTAAAGTTACCAGGCAGTGACATTGCCAGTGGAAGTGATGTACTTTCTGACGTCATACCCAGTATCCCCAGTTCACCTTGCCTGCTTCCTAAAAGGAAGAACAAGCATCGGAATCTCGATGAACTTGCTTGGAGTGCGATGACAAATGATGAGCAGGTAAACATGTTGGCATTCTTCATTCAAAGTGTATGTGGAATAAAGCTTATGTGGAGAGCAGATGTGAAGCCTCCTTTATTTACCTCTTTGTAGCCCCCAAATTGTGTGAAGTCTGAAATTGAGTTTTAACTTTTTCTAGGAAGCAAGTGAAATCAGGACATCTTAGCAACGATCATAAGAAATTATCAGTTTTCCTATTCAGACAGTGGTTGGTGCTTCACTGGAGCCTTGGGCAAAATAATTCTTCTAATGTCTAAATTGTGTTATAATTGACATAGTAAAAGTCAGGTATTCACACTGATATTGTTTGTTGTTATTTTTCTTCACACAGGTGGAATATATTGAGTATCTGAGCCGTAAAGTCAGTACTGAGATGGGCCTTCGGGAGCAACTTGATATTATTAAAATCATTGATCCTTCTGCTCAGATCTCCCCTACTGACAGTGAGTTCATTATTGAACTTAACTGTCTCACAGATGAAAAACTGAAGCAGGTATGAAAAGTAAATGTACATTGTTTATCTACTGAACATGCCACCATGTTATGAAGTGTAGGCCTATGTAATCATGTGCATCCTCGTCATTATCAAGACTAAAATCACTGCTGTGAGATGTAACATTACATCTCACTGGTGCTGAGCTAAGAGTTGGAGCTCAGGGCTAGAGGGTAACATGTACAAAGCCCTGAATTCGGTCCCCAGGACTGCAAAGAAGAAGGGAAAAAAATGACCTGGAGTAGCGGCACACGCCTGTAATCATAGCACTTGGGATGTAGAATTAGGAGGACACAAGTTCAGGGTCATCTTTGATTTGTTAAAGACTTCAAGGCCAGCCTGGAATACCTGAGATCCTGAATGTCTCAAAGCCAAAACAAAAACTGAAACCTCCAAGTCCCTACTTCAGAAGAGTTTTATGTGGCCAGGCATGTGTGCCGAGGGATTTGAGTGGCCTTGTGGAATAACAGCCTGTGCAGAGTGACATCTGAGGAACTTTTCCTCTAGTGTTTGACTCTGTATGTTTACGACCCCTTCCAAATAACAGTTTTGCTGCACCTTTTCTCTGGTACATGCTTTAATAGAAAGGCTTTTAATTCTCTGCTTCTGGTGTCTTACATTTGGCATTTGAAAATTCTCATTTCTCAAAATATCTTTCCCCATTTCTGCTAGTTTCTTTAGTGTGGTAAGTTGATGTGTTGCATTTAAAACTAGGTGTCATTGTCCCCCTCGCAAAATTTAGGGGGAAATGCACACAAGTCAGAAATGGAATCTTTTATATTTTTAAAATATAGGTCTATGTGTTTGCTGGAGTTTTTACCCCTGCTGGTTTTGTGGTCATCCTTCCTCTCTTCCCTTCTTCCCTTCTTCCCTTCCCTTCTTTTCCTTCGTGCTGTTCCTGCCCCTCTCTTGAGTATTGTTTTGAAACAGTTCCTTTCTATAGTCCAGACTGGCCTAGAATGCAGTATTAAGCTCAGGCTCTGCAGAACTAGTTGCAACCCTCCTGCCTCAGCCTAGAGAACTAGAAGTAATACACCTGACTTGGTATTCATTTCTATATTTGGGTGTTTCTTATTAGCTTCTATTCTGCCTCTTTTCTGCATCTGAGCATCAGTCAGATTGAACACACTGTGGGGTTTTTCCCTCCAGCATCTTGAGGGTGGAATATCAAGGTGCCATACTTACCAGTGCTTGTCCGTGTGTCCTAAGGTCAGAAACTATATCAAGGAGCATAGCCCTCGTCAGCGGCCTACAAGGGAGGCCTGGAAGAGAAGCAACTTTAGCTGTGCAAGCACCAGTGGCGTGAGCGGTGCCAGCGCCAGCAGCAGCAGTGCCAGCATGGTCAGTTCTGCAAGCAGCAGTGGGTCCAGTGTTGGAAACTCTGCTTCAAACTCCAGTGCCAACATGAGTCGAGCACACAGCGACAGCAACCTGTCTGCAAGTGCAGCAGAGCGGATTCGGGATTCAAAAGTAAAATGTCTATTCAATACAAAACTTTACCTTTCAATGTTAGCATTAGGATGCTTTCGCTTCAATCTCTTGCAAACTAAAAATTGCTCCACTCTCTGGATGCCCGTGGGTCTTGGTTTTGATTGAACAAGCAGAGTGTTCCACTGTTGAAGAAAGCTTGAGTGCTTTCAGATACTCTTCACCCACTTCCATGCCGCCTTCAGTCTTTCAGTTTTTATCTTCCCTTTCAGTAAGAAATACTAGAAATATTAAAATAACAGCTTATTCTCAAGATTGCAATTCACTACTGAGCAAATCTTACTATGTTGCTAATGTTGCCATCTATTAGCTTCTAAAATTGTCATGTATGCCTTCAGTGTGTGTTGTTTATGCGTGTGCGTGTGTGTGCGCGCGCGTGTGTGTGTGTGTGTGTGTGTGTGTATTTTCTTGATGTTTTAACCTTAACTGTTCCTTGACTAAGTAAAAAACCGCTTTCTGTAATCTACTAGTTCTATTCTTTTATTGTTGAAACTTCCTGTTGGACACTTGTAAAAGAAAGTAGAAGTACATATGGAATGCTCAGCATGGGCATATGTATGGTTCTTTGCAGTGGCACAGAGTAGAGCCCATTTAAAGATGAGAGAATCTCTTTAACTCTTTGGAAATCCAGTGGTCAGAAGATACACAGTGATTCCTTCCCGTTTTGTTTTGCTTGTTTTTGTCAAAGTAGAAGAAATAGCCATCTTTGGTGGTTACCAAGGGATTTCACTGAATACGTGGTTATTCTTTTTTTTTTTTTTTTTTTGGTATTAGTTTACCAGTGATGAGGATTCAGGTTTCCTAACAGGCTTTTAAGATAGCATTTGCCTGATATTAGGAAAGCATGATTCCTTCGTAGCCATTGGGAGATTTTTAGTATTCTGGGGTAAAATGTACCTTGAAAACGTAAGTAAGTATTAGGGATTCGGACAATGTTTTCTGCATTTTATATCCAGTATTGTACTCTAACATTTTGTTTTTGCTGTGATGATTTTACCCTAATTGAATTTTAAAAATATAAATTCTTGACAGTATTTTGTTGTCCATAGCTAGCTCAAACAATAAAGAATCAGCCCTTGCTAGCCACAAGAATCACTAGTCAGATGCAATAAAAAAAAGAATCTTTTTTTTTTTAACATCTAAGGTGGTGAAATACTTGTTGGTATAAGAATCACTCTGCAGAGAAACTTGAGCAGCTCCTAAAATGTCGAAAATAGAGAATTTGAGCCACATAACCCTGGGCTGCATACAGCAGTGTCTACACCTTACTGACTTTGTACTTTTCACTTTGACAGAAGCGATCCAAGCAGCGAAAGCTACAGCAGAAGGCCTTCCGCAAGAGGCAGCTGAAGGAGCAGAGGCAGGCCCGGAAGGAGAGGCTCAGTGGGCTCTTCCTCAATGAAGAGGTGCTGTCCTTGAAAGTGACTGAGGAAGACCACGAAGCAGATGTTGATGTTTTAATGTAATCTATCAGCAGTCTTCTTAGCATTGTTCTGTTCTCATTGGCTTACATGCATCTTGACCAGAAGTTTGGTTAGGGTTGTGCTGATGTACCATTAATCATTTAGGCCAGTGGTTAGCAGAGGGCAGTCCCAGTACCTGCAGCTTCAGCATCACCTGAAAAGATGTTAGAATTGCATTTGAGCCCCATTCCAGACCCATAGGCCGTGTGGATTTGGGGCAGCACTGTGTTTTAACCAATGCCAGATTATTCTCATGCACATTCTGATTTAAGAACCACTGGTAAATGTCTTAACTATTTTAACTTTGTGGTAATCAAGTGGACTTTTCAAAGACTAGTACATTTGCAGTTTTGGGGATGTCAATGTATAGATGACAGGTAGTTTGTCACTATGTGTAGCATCTGTAATTCAGTTCCCTTCTTAATGATAACATTTCTTAGTTTAATTTTTCAAGAGGGCCATAATATAATTATCAGTTCCTAGGGGCAAATCTCCTTTAGGTGAGGGTGCGTATAAGTCATGCATTGCTGTTTACAATAGTGCCTTCATTAGTTCCGATTTCATTAATTATTAATACAAAGGTATAAACAAAGGCCCTAATCTTTTTCAGTTATATGTGGGGTATTTTTTTGTCTTTCTATACTTTATGTCAAGTGAGAATCACTTCTGCAAGTAATAACTACTAAGAAAATAATGGCTACACTAGCAAAATTTTAGACTTAATGCCTTATTGATTAATTTTCAAATGGAGATTCCAACTCAACAGTGGTAGCATATCAAACTTTCCCATTGCATCCTTACATTTTAGGCTGTTAGGTAATCTCCAAACTGTATCATTTATCTATTGCTCTCTATCAGAAAACACCCAAATTGTTATGCAGAACATCTCCAATGTTATACATTTCATTTGCCAGCTGGCAGGCATGTCAACAGGCTAATGTCCCTTAACTTCGAAACCACTTAGAGTTCTACCAACCTTCAGAAAGCACTGGGAGTGGGGTATAGACAGCACCTTTGTGGGTTCCTGATAGGACTCTACGTCTAAATGGGAAATCATGGAGTTTCTTTAATGTTTTCAAAGAATTCATGATCATGAACTTAGAAATAGTCTGATTCCTTTACCACATGTGTTCGGGCATTCACATGGGCTAGAGAAGATGGAAACAGAGACTGACAGGTGACTTGCTTTCTGACTTTCATTTTTATGACAGCATTTGGAAGGCAAGCTGATTGAGTAATCGATGTTTCGAAAAGACTACAGAGTTCAGAGGTTGATAGGCTCTCAACAGTATTTAAGTTTAGTTCTTCAAAAAGATTGACAACTTAAATTTCCTTCATTTTCAGTTGGTATAAGGGCTTAAATTTGAATAAATTAAAGGTGAAGATTTAATCCTGGTGTGTTAGAACACACTTTTAATCTAAGCATTCAGGAAGCTGAGCTGGGATAACAAGTTCAAAGCCAGCCTGGGCTGCATAGTGCTACTGAAATTTTGTATACCTTTAAAAGTTTTATTTTGCTTCCTTGAAGGCTAACGAATTGAAACTGAGAGTAAAGATTCGTGCTTGCAGCACTGCTGAGGTCTGTGCTCCGGCCTCCTCAAGTGAAAGGATGGCTGTGTGCTTTCAGCTCGAGGAATAGTTGTGATTTCCTCCCGTCTCCTTCGGTACTCCAGTCTAGTTTAGAGAGACCGAAGAGATCTCAGGGTCAGACCCTGGAATAATTGAGGAAACGTGTGCTCTGTTTTCCCTTCCAAGCACAGAAATGGAACAGAGAAGAGAAGCAAATGCATCTAAACCGGCTGCCTTCCCTTAGTAGCAAATCGCACCGAGGAGTTTCTGCGTGCTCTTCCTGTCCTCTAAGGAAGATGGGTAACCCTGAGATGCAGAGCAGCATTTATCCGTCACACAGTTGCCAACTGTTGATTTGAGGAAAATGCAAAACCGGTTCAGGATATAATTTTAAGACCAATTTCTCTATCCTCCCAAGAATCATGTAGTCCTCTTAACTTAGATTTAACTTAAGTCACTATTGAATAAGTTTACCAAAGTGCCATTGGCAGATTTTTAATGTCTATAAAAGTTTGCATATTTATAGAAATATGTCATAAGATTTTGTGTGAGTCTATTCACTCTATACATTAGAACCAGAATATAAACTCTATTTGGAGTAAATTGAAAATACTACTTTCATTTAAAAGCAAAAAGTAGAACTCTTGGACTTGTTTATGATTTAAGAGATAGAGATTAAAGTCTTTCTTTTTCCTTCCAAAATAGAAGCGATATCACAAAAAGGCTGTTTTCTGTCAGGACGTTTCATGTGGCTGAGAGAGAATTGCTGGAATGGGTGGTGATTTATTAAATCTGCTATCTCTGTAGGGTATATTTAAAACAAATTCAAGTCAGGATCTCTTCTTTCATTTTCAATGGAAAGCCTACATAATCAGTTAATTAAAAGGCAAATCAGGGAAATGCAAATCCAAGCTGTTGAGAGTCTATCTCATTCCAGTCAGAACAGCTATCATCCAGGATACCAAAAGCAAATACTGGTGAGAGTAGAGGCCGGGGTGGGGGGAGGTAGGAAGGAATCTGTATATGCTGCTGGTGAGAATACAAAACTGCTGTACCAGCGGAAATCAATATGGAAGTTCTGTTTTTAAAAAAATTACAAGTGGAACTATATTATCCAGCTGTACCATTCCTGAGTGTGCTCAAAGTAAATGAACTCAGCATATGGCAGGAATACTTCTGTTTCCATGTTTCTCACAGTGTTGTTCCCAGTAACCAGTAAATAGATTCTTATCAGCAGATGAATAAAGAAAATGTGACACATACCCAGAGCATAGTTGTATTTAGCCATAAAGAAGACTGCAATTATGTCATTTGCAAGAAAACGGATGGAACTAGATGGAGATCGTCACGTTAAACAAAGTAAGGCAGACTCAGAAAGACAAACATTGTGGGTTTTTTTTTTACATGTGAAATCTAGATTTAATAAAATGCAAATTAAGAAATTAGAAGGGGACACTATTTGGGAAGGGGAAAGGATCTAGTAAAAAAAGAACAGGGGGCCAAAAGATGGTAGGTAAATATGATCAAAGTAGATTATAAATATGTATGGATAAATTGGTGAATGAATGAGAAGTCTCGAATTTGCTCCAATGTTGGTTAACTTCTGTACAAAGCTGATGGTGGAGTGAATAAGTCTCCTCTTTACAGGTTTATCCAGACTTTATTAGAGATCTTGGAAGACTATCTCAGTCCTTATTACTGCTTTTAAAAGTGCGAGCAGTGAGTTAAGCCAAATGGCATGTATTTTTATACAGTTTCACAAATGATTAAAGGAAGGTGGTGTTCTAGAATGCAGTTGGTTGTAACGGGCTGGTTTATTCTGCCTTACCAAGAACATAGAGTAAAATGAAACTTTTTCTTCATTCTTTGGTAGATAGTGGCAGCTTTATTGAGTTCCTCTGTTTTGTGGGTAAGTTAGATATTGCTGAATTAAATCCCAAAAGCTGACTTATCAAATAATGACCCATAGTGTGCATAGACATCTCATTTTTTAGCTTTTTAAAAGTGGTAAATTCCCTCAAAAAGAAAAATTATAAGAAATTATTGTATAAAGGTATCCAGATTCTGATGAGCTTTAAAAATTGTAAAATTTATTGTATATCTTCATATTTAAGCCAAAAATGTTACTACATAAACTCTATAGTAGTCTTGTTTGTTTTGGGTTCTCGTAGCAGACTTTTTTTTTCATGGCTTCTCTGTAGCCTCATGTGCCTTAAAGGTGGTGAACTTTGACATTTTCATCAATATCAGGCTTTTCCAAACTCAAATATCAGAATGTTATAATTTGGTTCATGTAATGCTCATGGTGTTTGGATATTAGTAAGCAAAACTTACCAATAGTAGTAGTCATAGAGTATCAAATGAGATAAAAAAAAAAACTTCAGATTTTAGACACGATTGCGTAAAACTAGTTTTGATCCACAAGATTATTGAAGAGCCTTGCATTTACGTAAAGTTTTAATTAATGTATTGTTTTTTTCCACGGGAGAAAAATGTCTGAGGCCAGGATACTTTTTTTTTCCTTTTTCTTTCTGAGACAGGTCTCCCTATATACGTCAGGCTTGAACTTGCTACGTTGTCCAGGCTGCTCTGGAACTCTTGATGCTTTCCCCTTAGCTTCTCTGGGTTTTGGGATGCAGACATGTCTGGGGAGTGTACCTTTTTAAACTAGCTAACATATATCATGAAAGAATTTTTAGGGTCCAGACAAAAACTCTTCTAGAACCAAGATTATAGAGCAAGGTGTTTCTTCTTTTAATGTTAGGGATTCATTAAGTTCCTATGTGTATTCATCAGGTCACCCTGTCCTCTCTCCTTTTTAACAAATTACCTCTTAGCGCTCTGTCTTTAAGAATTCTTCTTTGGAATTGATGGAGGGTGAAGTCAGTTTGACTTAGCTGATAGTATAGTTCTTTTGTGTTCAATAGTAGTGTGGATGTTGAATTCGTTGACATTCAACATATTTAAGTTAGAAGTAAATTGCGTCTTGAAAGGGACTTTTAGGAAATAAATATTTGAGTAAAAATCTAGTATGGTAACTTTGCAGTAGTTTTAAACTTAATACAGTGGAATAAATTTTATCTTAAAACTGAACATTATTAAATGTGTAAGACCTCTCGGGTATTTTGAGCTAGGCATTTCTGTCAGAGTAGTATTTGGAACACAATCCTTGGAATATTTAAATTTGGCCTCTGAAAAATAATTTCCATCCTCTGTGAGGCTTAGCGGGAAGTCTGACATTTCTTATACTGGATATTAAGAGTAAGGCAGTTGCATGGCATAGCTCAAGGTCCAAATTGGCTCTCTATGATTTAATTTCCATTTCTTAAATAATTTGTTTGCAGTTCCCTACCCAATTATTTTTTGAATTGAAGTTATTGATGTTTTAACCTAGACCAGACAATGGCAAATTGCATTTTAATTTGACATTCATGCCAAACTCAGAAAAACCAGTGTGGTCTTCGCTGATTTCAGTATATAGTAGTTTTTCTTTATTGTCAGGTTTCTTCTGTTACATCTTTGTGGTGAATGGAACCTGTGGAGATATGTGTTCTTTTTTTGTGGTGATGTATGGGGTGGAAAAGGGAAGAATTGCTTAATTAATACATATCTGTTTTGACTATGTCAAGGTAATTGTAGAATCAATGTGTACAGGTGTTAAGTACACACTTAAGATGCTGAATTGTTCAGAAGAACAGCCGTGGCTTGTTCTGTAAAGTTGCTTGTTCTTAAACTGAAGCTGACCTTTTAGGTTTACATTAAGATTTTGAGGCTTTTAGAGAATGGAGCTGGTAGTGTCTCTTCCTGTAGTGGGTGAAATTAATTTCCTGTTTGAGTACGCTAGTTTAGATAAAAAGTATTATTCATAAATCTTTGTGTTAGCAATTTAATAGGACTGTTGCCAAAAATAACAATATAATAATAAACACAGTACATGTAAAACATTTCACAGATGGTTAAGAGTTGCAAATTGTGGGGCTCCCCCACTTTTCAAAAATTAGTTATGTAGCATCAATATCATAACCAAAGTAGTAGGAAGGTGACTGGTTCAGAGAATCTGCAAGTAGTCTTAAATACTGTAAAGTATCAGGTTGTTAACCAGGACTTTTTTCCTGTATTCCTGCAAAATATATTCTATTAATGCACTTTTGTATATATGACAGTCTCCTGTACATTCTGTACCTACTACGGTGTATATAAAACCTGGTTGTTTTTCTCAAAGCTATGTGAGGAGGGATGACAATAGAGTGCAGTTGGTTTCTATGTTGAGTTCCTTCTCACACATGAAAATATTTTAGCTGTTATGTCTAAACGAATATGTATGATTATAACTGAAGCTGGCTATGTGGCAGAATTGTCTTTTGAACCCAATATCAGAATGAAAGGAGTCATTTGGTCTTTAAGAATTATGGTAATCATTCCATCTTAATTCTCTCTTTTCAAAACCCCACTGCTATTACTGCTGTATACTCCGAATCAGCTCCTCTCAAAGTTCCACTCCTGAGCATTTACCACTAACAGACAACTGTCCTTATGGTTGATGGCAGTTTGATTGGACTTTACAAATTTGTTTTGTGAGAGTCTCAGTCTCCCAAAAGTCATGAGTAAAACATTTTTTTCTGAAGAGATCAGATTTCTAGAGAGATTATAATTCACACCATAAGTGAAAATTAGGTCCATTTTGTTGTTGTTGTTGACAAAAATGATGTATTTTCTTTATGTATTGCTGTAGAACCTTTTAAAGTTAAGTTTCCAGAAAAGAAATGTCTACGATCAGTTGTATGTGTAGATTCAGGTGCCATTCTGATTTGATTTTTTTTTTTTTTGATCAACAATGTTATTTCTTGCCACTAGAGGGACGTCTATGGTTCTTTTCTGCTTTGGAATTTTTTTTTTTTTTTAAGTTTCACAGATTGGCATAGACTTATCCTCCTAATGTTTTGTTAGTAATTATGTTCATTTATTAGGCAAAGGTAGACTAATTCAGCTTGTTTAATGAAAAAGGCAGTCTTACTCATGCTGTCTGTAATCTTCCATTTTTAATAAATGTTAGATACTAAGTAAAACCTGTATGTGTGTGTGTGTGTTTCTTTTTTAAGGTATTCCATACCTGTACTGCCCTAATGGTGGGCACTAGACATACGTGCCTGTGTATATGAATTGAAATTAAATGAAGTTCAGATTTTTTTCCCTAAGTCATGCAGCAATATTTCAAGTGTCCGAATACCCACATGTGGCTTTAGGCTAATTTTTATTTTGGAAACACAGAATCTGAAAAATGTTACACAATGTTGGGCATGGTGGTGGCGCACGCCTTTAATCCAAGCATTTGGGAGGCAGAGGCAGGTGGCCCTCTGAGTTCAAGGCCGGCCTGGGCTACAGAGTGAGTTCTAGCACAGCCTGGGCTATATAAAGAGAGCCTGTCTCAAACAAACAATTTTTTTTTTAAAAATGTTCCACAATCACAGAGAATTCTTGTGGAGAGAGCTGCTATAGAGATTTGATGGTTGCTCTAGCGGTCATTGTCATTCTACTACTTAACAGTATTTAGTGGCTAAGAGCTGCAGCCCACAAAGCTGGTAATGACTGGTGTGAGAGGGTAAGTGAAGTGTGCTTGGTTTTCTGTTTCATTAAAATCACTGCCAAGGGCTGGAGAGATGGCTCAGTGGTTAAGAGCGCTGGCTGCTCTTCCAGAGGTCCTGAGTTCAATTCCCAGTAACCACATGGTGGCTCACAATAACATGGAGGCAACAGTGCAGAGACTCAGCAGGATGCATTATATGTGGATTGATGTATATGTAACAACAATGGTTAAAGAAGAAGCCATGAATTTGGGAGGGAGGGGAAGGTCAGGCATGGGAGGGGGAAAGAGCAGAAATGATGTAATTACATTTAATTTAGTAAAACTATTCTTACAAATAGAAGTGTGAGCTACAGGATCAGTGTTTCTCTATTAATTTTTGTGATAGGAGATCCTAATAAAGGCACTGTTTCTCGAGCCTGACAATATTCTACCCTCTTGCTGTTGGTTTGCACCTCATGGTAAGTGGAATATTATAATGTATTATCTGGGTTTCTTGGTGATAGGCTGGCAGTTACTAGATTTAGGTCCAATGTCACTTACTTGATTTTTTTTTAGCATGACATTCACTAGAATGCTATAATCACTATATATGCTACTTCATAACTAATTTTGCTACTGCTATGAATTGTGATGTAAATATCTGTGTTTTCTAAGGGTCTCAGGTAACCACTGTGAAAGGGTCATTCACTGGGTTGAGACCCATAGCATGAGAACACCTCCTAATGCTACAAAAGCTAAACCCAGGTGACAATTTCATCTCAGTCTGATTTTGTAAAAAATAAATGTACTTCTGTAACATACTTGTATGTATATGTGTATGTTATATATATATACACACATGTATTTAATCATATCTATAAAAATACTTCCTAATGTCAAGTAGTTATTTATTTACAATAAAAATCATAACTATTATTGTTACTAAGTTCAAAAATAATTCTGCATGTTGCTGACCCTAATATAAATTACTTTTTCTATTGCTTAAGTTCTGGTGGTATCTTGGCCACTGCCCTCTCCTTTTTCTCTCCCTTTTCATGACAGAGTTTTATGAAGTGAATGCTACCCGTGAGCTTCTGATCTTCCCGCCTCCACCTCGCCTCCTGAGCACTGGGGTTACAGTCCCGCACCAGCATGCCTGTTTGTATGCTGTGATAGGATGGAACCCAGGACTTCGTGCATACTATGCAAGCACTCTACCAACTGAGCTATGTTCCCAGGCCTTGACCCCCTTGTGTTTTTTTTTTTTTTTTTTTTTTTTTTTGGTTCCTGTCCTGGAACTAGCTCTTGTAGACCAGGCTGGCCTCGAACTCACAGAGATCCACCTACCTCTGCCTCCCGAGTGCTGGGATTAAAGGCGTGCGCCACCACCGCCCGGCCCCCTTGTGTTTTGAAGCACGATATCTATTGCTTTTATACAGAAACAGTCTCAGTTGTTTTCCTTAGTATGGTTGTTAAATATATAATATATATAAATAGAATGATTTGAGTTCCCAGGCAGCAGGAAGGGAATAGATCACAGTAACTTGAAGTATGGCTTTGCTGTTTGATGTGCCTCTGTATCCAAGAATTTTCTTTTCATGGCCTGAGGAGATGGATTAGTGGATAAAGTGCTTGGTGTTAAAGCATAAGGACAGTCACAGATCTCCATAGCCCAGACGAAAGGCACACAAGCCAGATTATAGGCGTAGCAGATGCCTAGAATCCTAGCACTTGGGAAACAGAGATGGGATCCTTGGGGCGAGTTGGCTTGCTACACTAGCTGGAGCCACTGAGGTCATCAAGAAACCTTGCCTCAGTACATGTAGTAGAGAACAATCAAGTAAGACACCTG